CTGAGGGGGTGGGCGAGGGTAGAGGATCAGCGGTATGGAGTAAGATCTATTTTCGGGCCAAATATATCATCGTGTATGATTAATGACATAAAGTGATATTGAATATCAATGTCAAAAGAACTGCCACCATTCACGTTGCAAAACTCTTATTCAGGGGATCAATATAATATCAATACTATTGTGGTACTTTGATGACATTTTGCTCTATCTTGGAACATTTCTTTTTTGTAAGTTTTAAAAGAAAAAGTACAAGCCTTACTTTTTTAAGGCATTCAAATAAAAAAAGTGAAATAATAATTTTTTGTGCAACATTGAAACAAAGGGGAGATATAAAAATTAGGTAAGATGTAGGTTTCATAGGAGCTTGGACCTCTCACAGCAGTTATAGTAATTGGAACTTTAGTATCTGGGCAAAATCAACTTATAGTAACAAAAACATTTATTTAAAATGGAAGAAAACCCCTCAAATATTGCATGGATTATGCATACCTTTTCTCACTCACCTACTCCAAGTTAAAATGACACTCCATCTGATATTTATATTTATTGCATGCAAATCCTTTATATCACTAGATGGTGCATTTCTCTTCTATCCACTTTATACATACAAACATTATATTCTAACAATTTTTTTTAAAAAAATTAGTTATAAGAGATATAGAGAGTATACATATAGAGAGAGATCAAGAATTGCACTAATAAAAGAGAAAAAAAACCATGGTTGCGAGTCGAGTACTCGTTGTATTTGCAGCTTGCCTTCTTCTTCCGATGTCCGTCAAGTCTATGGTTCGACGTTACAACTTCACGGTATGTGCGTGACCGGTCCTGATGAGTATATTGGAACCGGTACGATACAATTCTTATTTTGGCTAAATCCACGCAATTTATGTTGAAAGGACGACTTTGCCCTTAAGATTTGGTTAGCATCTAAATTCTCTCATTCATATTTATAAGGGTAAAATTGTAAATTTAGCATGATTGGAGTGGATTTAGTCAAAATGATGAGCGTTGATATAGCAACACCCATATGTTAATCGTTTGATATATATATATATGTGTGTGTGTGTGTGTGTATGGGGCAGGTAGTGATGAAGAACACGACGAGGTTGTGCGCGTGGAAACCAATCGTGGTAGTAAACGGGAAGTTCCCGGGGCCCACTCTCTACGCGAGAGAAGATGACACGGTTCTTGTGAGGGTATCCAACCAAGTCCAACAGAACGTTTCAATTCACTGGTATACTGGTCTTTGAATACAGTAATGTGACTATACTGTAATATTTCTAAATCACCCGTTTCGAAATTGACCGACTGTTTGTCTTCAGGCACGGAGTGAAGCAGTTTCGGACCGGGTGGTCGGACGGGCCAGCGTACATAACCCAATGCCCAATCCAGAGAGGCCAAACATTTGTGTACAACTTCACAGTCACAGGGCAGAGGGGAACTCTGTTTTGGCATGCACACATCAATTGGCAAAGGTCTACTGTCTATGGTGCAATTGTCATACTCCCCAAACGCGGCCTTCCTTACCCCTTTCCTAAGCTTATAAGGAGAAAATCTTACTCTTAGGTGTGTGGTAACAATATCTTTTAATCAGCGTTAGAATTTTGAATAATTTTTAATTGGCATAATGTAATTCTGTAAATGATACTCTCTTTTGGGCCTAATTACCACTATTTTTTAGGATTGGTTGCCATTATCGTACTCCCTCCGTCTCTGTCTCTGTTGCATAACGTAATGTTTCAAATAACGTGGGAATTCTGAATGATTTTAAATTGGTATGGACTCACTTTGAACACGTTAAAATTAAATGTTGAAACTGTTGTCGTAACATAATTTTATAAATGATACGGAGTACATTCTTTGTGACCTAAAATCCATTCATAGGATTGCTTGCCATAACTAATACAGAGTATTAGTATCATATTGTTTGCTCTGGGTCAAATCCCCATTAAACATCACTAATTTGTTTATTTTTTTGAATTGATAAATTTTGTATGAATGGACAGGAGAGTGGTGGAAAATAGATGTTGAAGATATGATCAATAATGCAATGAGATTAGGGATTCCCCCAAAAGTATCAGATGCTCACACTATTAATGGCCTCCCTGGACCTACTCCTAACTGTTCCAAAAAAGGTACTTATAAATTGCTCTAAGAACTCACCTAAGAAAAAAAACAAACAAATAAATAAAATAAAAACAAAAAAAATCTGAAACAAAATGTATGTTAAGGGTCCGTTTGTTATACGGAATTAATGGAATTGGAATTGAATTAGAAATGAAACTTCATGGGATTCAATTCCATAGAATTGAATTCACCAATTTCAATTCGTTTTTTGCACTATCAATTCCAAATCCACATAATTTTTGTGTTACCAAACATCAAAATTGAAATTGAAGTCCTCAATTCCAATTCTATAGCTTGAATTCCGTGTATCAAACAGGGCCTAAATCTTACTCCTCTGTTCGGACTAAATAAGAGTTACAGAGAAAATTATAGGGTCGAATAAAGACTTAAGGGGCAACGAGTAAATATTAGTCTTACCGTTCTCATTTTCGCTCAGTTTGACTTTTCACGTCTCAGCAACGTTTCTCAATTAATGTAAAAAAAAGTATAGGAAAAAATATACCTCTACCGTCTTAAAACTTTCTTCCCAGACACTATTCGATGACATGGTCAAACTTTAAACACTTTTTTTACCTATTTTTCCTAGTTATTTGGTAAAATAATATAATCATTTCACATCTATTTTTGTAGAACTTTTCATGTAGTTTGTGAATATATATTTTTTAATTTTTAATTTTACACCTAAAATCAAATAAATCGAACTTTTGATGTAGTCTGTGAATATATTTTTTTTAATTTTTAATTTTACACTTAGAATCAAATAAATCGAATTGGAAAAAACTTTCAGTCAAATCTCATAAACTGGATTGGGAAGAAAGTTTTAGGACGGAGGTGGGAGGGAGTAACATTTATGCTTGATTAATCCGATAAGATTATTTTCGTACTATAGAGTAATACTAGCATATAAAATAATTTTTATACTCTATCTCCCATTTTATTTTTACATCTATTTACATCTATTGCCGGCGGTTGGTGTAGAAGATAATTTGGTAATTTGAAAACTTTTACCAATCTTATGAAAAGGCTATCTAATGGAGTATATTCTTAAGAGGTCGGTTCCCATCACGATGCCTCATCGTAAAATTGATAGTTTCTACCCTCTCTGACCTCTCTGGTAAACCCTCACCCCGTCCTGACCAGAAAACACCCTCTCACCCCTTCAATTGCACCCCAAGTTAATTTTGATTTTGGAATCAAATTTTGACTCTAAAGTCAAAATTAACTTAGCGGGTTCAATTGAAGGGTGGGGGGTGTGTGCTCGGGCCGGAGCAGGGTGAGGGGTTTACCGAGGAGGTTAATGGCTATCTAATGGGTTCATACATTGCAGGCTACACATTGGAAGTGGAGAGAGGGAAAAAATATTTGTTGCGCATCGTGAACGCGGCGGTAAACGACGAGCTGTTTTTAAGGATTGCGGGTCACAAGTTAACCGTGGTCGAGGTCGACGCTACTTACGTTAAACCCTTTCAGACCGACACGATTTTCACCGGTCCTGGTCAATCCGTAAATGCGCTTCTAACCGCAAACCAGAACCCGGGCCGATACCGCATAGCCATTTCTCCTTTCATGGACACCACTATACCCATCGATCATCAAACCACAACCGGTACGGTTCAAAATTCCACATTTGTCCAATATAGTACTACTTCAGTCTTTGAATATTTGTCCAATTTTAATTTTTTATAGTCAACCACTTTCAATCTTTGACTTTTAGTTAAACAAAAATTATGCAGTATATTAATTAGATAAAATAATATTTTGAAAATATTTTATAAAATAAGTCTAGTAAAATTATTTTTGTATCAATATCTAATACTAAAATCATTTAATTAGCGATCAAAATCTGTCAATTTTGACGTCAAAAAGTGAAAATTAGACAGGTACACTGGGTGAATGAAGATACTATATAATAGCATAATACCCCCTTCTTTAAAATAACCTTACTTCAACAGGTACTCTAAGGTACAAAGAAACTCGGCCGTTTCCCAATATCACGTTGACGAAAATGCCCCTGCAAAACGCAACACGCGTGACGACGACTTTCTTGGACTCGCTAAGGAGCCTAAACTCGAAAACGTACCCTACAAACGTCCCACAAAGCGTCGACCACTCCTTGATCTTCATGATTGGGGTCGGTATCAACCCGTGCCCGTCGTGCTCGAATAGAACCCGATACGTTGCACACATAAACAATGTGAGCTTTGTAATGCCAAGCATAGCCCTCCTCCAGGCACACTACAACAACATGAGCGGAGTTTTCACGGACGATTTCCCGGGAAGGCCTCCAGTTCCTTATAATTACACGGGGAGGCCCCCGAGAAACACGTGCACGCGGAACGGCACGAAGGTTTACAGGCTGGGGTTCAACTCCAGTGTTGAGGTTGTGTTACAAGGGACTTCTGGGGTTGCACCAGAGAGCCACCCAACACATTTGCATGGTTTCAACTTTTATGTTGTTGGGAGAGGGGTTGGAAACTTTGATCCCCAAAATGACCCTAGCAAATTCAACCTGGTTGATCCTGTTGAAAGGAACACTTTGAATGTGCCCACTGCTGGTTGGGCTGCCATCAGATTCAGAGCTGATAATCCTGGTAAGAATATAAATCATTTTTATTTATTTATTTTACACTGATTTAATTTCTGACTTAAATTCAAATGCTATATATATATATATAATATATGTGTGTATAGGTGTTTGGTTTTTGCATTGTCATTTGGAGGTTCATACAACATGGGGGCTAAAAATGGCATTTTTGGTGGAAAATGGTGAGGGCCCCAATCAATCTCTCCCTCCTCCTCCAAGGGATCTTCCTCAATGCTGATTTTGTCAGTTAAATGAACAGACCAAAAAAAATTATGGGGTTTGAATTGAATGTATGAATAAAAATGAATGTGGATTCTTGATTGGTTTTGTCAAGGCTTTCTGTTTACAGTCTTCTGTTTGGCTTAAAAATTGGGCTGTCAAATTGTGTTTGTATATTCTTTATTATTATGATATAAATACAAAAAAAAAAAAACAATCCCAAGTACTTGTAATCATACAAATAGTTAAAAGCATTAACAATAGATTTTGTTTCCTTTGTTTCACAACAATATTGACATTACCAATGTCCTATATACAGTGTCAACCTTGGTGTTAACACATTCATTATCGGTGTTATTCACGAGATGTTAACCATGTCAACCTTGATGTCATTGATGGTGTCACTCTATTGTCGCAATATGCCACGTACAATTCGGTAAATCTACGAAACGTAACGGAATATATTTCAAGTTTATATTTCCAAAACAGATGCATTTCATTATGTCTTACCAAACAGCACCTAAGAAAAACCACATAAAAAGAGCAAGGAACTGTTCTTTTTTTTTATTTCTTTTCCCCTTCAAAATGGATTACACATTTCAAAAGTGGTATTTGTGGCAAACACAACTGTGGAAAATCCCTTTCTTTGAAGAAAAAAAAGACTTCACAATACTAAGTAATATTAATATTCACACAAATCCATAACCAGTGTTGTTGGTGTCAAGACAACGGACAGTGTCCGGGAAATCCGTCCTCCGTCCGGCAAGCGAGTAATACGCGAGTATGTGGGCAGGATGGTCGGCGACCACGGTCTCCCCATTGTTGCCTGTGGAAGCGACCCGTCGGGCGGGGATGACCTCAATGTTCCAAAACGGGCGGGCCATGAGCAACAAATCCTGCCCGGTTTGGGACGAGCGAAACCCTTGGACCCACAAGTACCTCAGAGACCTCATCCTCAAGGACGCCATAGCGAGCGCCCGTTCACTAAAGAAGCATCCCCTCACTTCGAGCTTCTGTAGCGCCGGGCACCCGTTGGAGAGCTCCAGAAGCCCGTCGTCCGTCTCCCCGATGTACCCGAGCAGCATCCACCTCACGTTTGGGCTGTACTGGCCCACATACCTCAGCCCCTCGTCGGTCAGCCCGCCTGCCCGGAGATACAGAGCGAACCTCCTAAGCAAACAGCAACCCCTCAAGAGCGAGCGGACCCCACTGTCGAGCGGGAGGTCCGTGATCCTCTCTTCGCGATCCAAAAGAACCAACCGGAAATCGGAGAGGCGTTTCAAGTGATACCCAATGGAATCCAACGCTTGGTTCGTAATATCCGAGACATATACGGCCAAGTATTCGAGTTGCGGGCAGCCTTTGGATAATGCAATGAGTCCTCTCTGAGTCACCGACCCTTCTTCGTCTTCCATTCCGTGTTCGTCGGCTCCTCGCTCGATCCTCAGCCTCTTTAACCTCTTGCAACACCTTCCCACCACTTCTAATCCTCTGTCTCCAATTACATTCCTTGCCTGTTAAATAAAGCATTGAATTATGATATTCCAACCCAAAACCCACTGACAATTAGAAGAGTAACTCATATTCTTATATATTAGTGGTTTTCATCAATAAGAAACAAAAAAGAAAGAAAAAAGAGAGGGATGTAGAATGACTAAATTGCCCTCCAACTGACCTCCAAGACTTCCAAGACGACACATTTTTCCAGCAAGAAGCAGTGCCCTTCTGTGTCAAGAAATGCATAAAGAAGATCCAACTTCTTGAGGCGGGAAGCGATGGGAAAGAGAATGGGCAGTTCGTTTTTGCCCAAATACGTAAGCCCAAGAGAACAAAGTCCGCGAGGAAACTTCACATCGGTGTACGGTCCAATGAGGTCCGGTTGCTCGCTAACCGCACCACCCGCAAACTCTTCCAAGGAGGTTGCTGCCCGAAAGAAACCGAAAAGGGCAGACATGTCGGTTTCGCAGATTTTCATGGATACAAGGTTTGGGCAGTTCCTGGCTATCAGTTCAATGTCTTCAGGTGATACTCTGGAAAGCTCTGCCATGTAAAAGTTGAGATTTTCAAGAACTTTGTTGTTCACAGCAAGCTCATGAAGCCACTCCCCATCCTTCTCAACTATAGTGCTCTCTTCAAGAACCAAAGTTCTTAGGTTCCTTTGAGAAAAGGTGAGGAGAAAAAAACAATATACAAATGTAAGTCATCTTGACTTTTTTTACAAGCTTTTGAGGATTTCAAAATTGCGAGGAAAAAGGGAAATTGAAAGAATAATCTGAAAAACAACAGTATTATTATTATTATTATTACTATTATTATTATGAGTTCCATTCTTTTGACACGAAGAGCACCGGCCATTTGAGACCCCTACGGTGCTGCATTGGACCCTGAAGTTGTTTCTACTTCCCCAGCACCTGCATTTGCCTCCCTATTACTTTACCAAAAATGGCAATTTTGGAGAGGGGTGCTAGGGTGAGGGTTTTTTTGGGGGGGGGGGGGGGGGGG